GCGAAACACATGTTGCGGGAGCAGGCGGCAATGGTCAGAGATTCAGCGGGAGCCAGCATTTTGGGCAATTAAGTCCCGGCCGGACGCATTTTTGTAGGTCCAAAAAGAGGACATGTACTGTTGTGGAGTAAAAAGGTTATAATGTTCTCTTTTGTTGGACAACAGGTTTAGAAATGTGAATACAAGGGAGGTTTAGCATTAGACATTTTAATTTAAGCATGTATAGCTTAGTTAACGGAAGCTGCTGCCATCAGAGCAAGTGTACTTACTGCATTCACGCGCTCCTCGGATGCTCTCATTTCCCGAGTTGTGCTTTTAAGTCGGAATGTGAAAACAACATGGACACTCTCGTTACTACAAAGATTTGTTGGATTTGTATTATTACAGTTTTCTGACTTGAGTTCATGTGCATTTTCTCAGTCGGGAAATTATTTTTCACGTGCGGTGCCAGTGATGATGCTTCTTACATCCGTTTCGGAGAACCGGAGGAAATATTTCAATCGATCGCTCAGGCATGGCACCGAAATCTGCGTTCGGATTCGGTTCTAGTACATACCGGTTACATAGGTACCGGTGTCATATTGGTACCTGGTTTCGGTACCCAACCCTAATTAAAATTCTATAAAAATATAACAAAAATGAACAGGAATGCTTTATCAGAGTTTAATCCTTCTGGGTCTGATCTGATTATGACCTCTTATTCCAGTCTTCTGACTAATTTTGGCTATATGGTATAGCCATACCAATTCATTTGAGTATGTATAATTCTGTATGTGTGTGCCTGTGAGTGTGTAAGTATGTGTGAGTGGATGTATCTGTTTTACACTTGATGTTTTAGAGTGTAACCCCTTCCTTGCTGTCCACTTTTTTACTGCATTGTAGTTGAATTATTGATTTTATTTTACATACTTGCAGTGTTACAGTCACAGCAGTTCATAGGGGTGTGTGTGTGTGTGTACAAGTGTGTGTCCATGCGTGTGTGAGTTGGTGTGTTGATTTTGCACTCTAGATGTTTTAGAGTTTCACCCCTTCATTGCGGTGTAATTTTATTTCTGCATTGTGGGGGATTTGTAGATTGTACCCACAAAAATTTTCCCATTTATTTCCTATGGTCAGTCATTTTTGACCGAAGACCATGAGTGTGACTATTTTTTATGACCACTTAGCTTTTTCGAATCATGCCCTCAAAATTTTTTTTTTCACATACCAAGTGCCATAAAAGTCACCAAGTTTCGTACCATTGTGGTGAAGCTACGATTTTTAAAAATTCAAAATGTAAAATTCTCCGGTCAGAAGTGACCGAAGACCGCACTTTGTCAGTGAGAGACGCGTTCAGAATCAGCACATGGTCACTGTCTAGTGGGCTTTGTTTTCAAGTGCGCAACTCATGGCATTCGCTCGCTGTTCTTCTGCTGGCGGTTATCAAACAGCGGTGCATTACTGCGGGCGCCCCCTTCTGGATTGAGGGTGAATTGCCTTTATTCATTTAAGGCCTCGTGCACCGAACCCGAGTTGTCCGTACCATGACGGTTCGGTACGAATACATGTATCGTTACACCCCTATTATATATTAATATTTATTAGTCTGATTAATAAACCAAACATTAAAAAAGCACACATCTTACAAAACTATTCATATTAGAAAGGCTACAAAAGTATTTGTTTAGTTTATATGTAATCCGCTGGCTCTGAAACCTTCAACAATCAACAGCGCTTTCAAAGACTTTAAGCATCATAAACACGGCTATTTTGGATCTAAAAATGTACAGTAGTCAATGTGTTGGTGCCAAGCCATAACACATAGGCTTAGCTTCTTTCACAGTCCCATCAAGGCTAAAAACAGTACCGATCTGAAACATGTTCAAAGGGAATCCCAGAACTTCCATTAGCAAATGGAGACAAATCACTATTAGTTTATATATCAAATAACTTTCCGATGCTCATGAACCGTGAAAGTGCATGTCAGATGCCAACATTAGAGCAAATGGAACTATAATAAATCAACATTTCGAAAAGTGACACTATATATAGTCAGTAAAAACACTGTTGAAATACTGAGTCAAATGAATAAAACAGTATGTGCTAAAGACTCCATTTGTTCACAGTCAAACAAGATGTGCAACAGGATGACAGGTTCAAAAACATCATCAATTTATGCAGCGCTGAGACTGACAGCTTTCTCCAGGTCTAACCAGATGGAAACCTTCCTCTCACCTTTCCACCTGCTAACAGGTCTCACATTCCTCTGCAGTTGTGCAACTATTCATAGAGCAAGAAGCTGTTAGGTGATGCGAGTAACTCAGTGTGGATGGTGGGAACCAGCTAACCCAAACAACAGCAGCTTGCCAATTTTCAATGGAAAGAATGTCGCTTATTCAAACAAAGCATTATAATAACTTATAATATAATAACACGGCAGAGATGTAGGTAGCTCTGTGAAGGTGCTGTGAAACAGATATGATGTGTTACGGTCCAAACGGTGAAGCATTCAGAATAGCCTGTATTGGACATGAAATAGCCCATATCCGATCGCTCTAGGCATGTGGCTTTGACATACATGTGGCCTGTGTTTGGAATCCCAGCACTCAACCAAAATACAAAAGCCCTGCTGACGCGTGTACTTCACAGATGTTTAAAATAACTGATTTTGTTCATTTCAATAGATTAGTCATAATAAGCAGAAAACCTTTTACTTTTACAGACAGACATGCAAAAGGTTTGAAGGTATTCTTAACTTCCTTAGATAATTCTGGATGTTCTGTCAACATTGTGAGATATTTATGAATACTCGCAAGATAGCATTTTTTATAAAACAGCTATTTCACCTGCGTCACCTGTTCACTCAGCTCTCGTGGGTTCTACAGTTTTTATAATCATAGGTAATTATATTTGTATTATTAAGTGCTAAACATCTACATTTGCTCCTGTGGCGACGCTCATACGCTACTGTCAAATGTTTGGGGCTGGTAGGATTTTTGTTTTTGAAAGAAGGTCACCAAGGCTGTATTTCTTTCACAGTAAAAAAGTAATATTGTGAAGAATCATTACAATTTAAAATAACTTGTCTATTTTAATACATTTTAAAATGTAATTTATTGCTGCAATGCCAAAGCTAAATTTTCAGAATCAATACTTCAGTCTTCAGTGTCACATGATCCTTCAGAAATCATTCTGTGTTGATTCATGCCTCAATTTTTTTTTTGATTATTATAAATGCTGAAAACAGTTGTGCTGCTTAATATTTCTGTGATTTTTTTTTGATGAATAGGAAGTTCAAATGAACAGCATTTATTTGAAATAGAAATCCTTTGTAAAATTTTGTAACAATATAAATGTTTTTTTTGATCAATTTAATACATCCTTATAATATAATTTATACCTTCCTATAATAAAAGCAATTTGAACCCTGACATTTTAAATGGTTATTATTACACATGCAAATAATGTGTAACACTTAATTTTGTCTCGGTTAGAGGTTGTTGCATAAATCTTTCTAATACCTCAATATATGAATAGTACATCCATTTTATGAGTTATCTGAAAGTCATTTTATTAGTTTAGTCAACATGTGAAAATCGTACCAACTCCAAACTTATAAACGTGTGAATAAGATTCAAGAAAAAAAAAAAACACTGAATGAATTTAATATTTGTTGATGGTGATTTTTTGACTCTGGTAACAATTCAGTAGATGGAAGTGAAAATCTATTTGAAAGCACCCTGTAGTTTCAATTGATTCACTGAAGTGATTTTTTATTGGTCAGTATTTATTTATAATAATTAAATGCTTTTATATCTGACAGTGTTGAGCCATATTAATGAGCAAGGGAAAAAAACACACAGTAAGCTGGAAATTTTTGACTCTGGTAACAATTCAGTAGATGGAAGTGAAAATCTATTTGAAAGCACCCTGTAGTTTCAATTGATTCACTGAAGTGATTTTTTATTGGTCAGTATTTATTTATAATAATTAAATAATTACATGCTTTTATATCTGACAGTGTTGAACCATATTAATGAGCAAGGGAAAAAAACACACAGTAAGCTGGAAAATATTGCCAAATATGTTGAACAGATTAATCCAAAATAATGTCTTGGTTTCAGTGTTTTGTCCCTGAAGACTCAAGCATAAGTGAGTGGCATGTCTGATGCAGAAGCTAGTAGTGCAACAGATACATGCTTGAATACTGACGAAGGAAAATATCCATTGCACAACTAAGTGAGTCAAAACTGACACTGGATCTTGCTTGAATGAAAATGCAGCTGCTGCCTGAGACATGATGGACCCTGTAGTCCAAACACACGAATGCTCATTACCTCCCTTAAAATAGTACTGAGGAAACAAATCACACCAAGCTGGCGCAAATCAGACTTTGCTGGTTTCTAGTCTAACAAATGATTTCAAGATACTTCATTGGAAAGGAAAGATTCTTACCCAGCTTCCCCCGTGACTCCTCGAGCTTCTGAATTTGGTTTTCCAAAACGATCATCGCAATGGCGAAGGCCACCAGAGCAAGGAGCTGAAACTTCGGCGGCATCTTTAACCTTAAAAGCCCCATCAAAAAATCCAGCACAGAGAGGACATGCCGTGACCGAGAACTTTATGACACACAGTTCATTGAGGCAAAGAGCAGTGCTGCTATTCCATGATTCCTACTATCGAATATAAACTCTCACAGCAAACTTACTACCGCAACCAAAACAGTTCCGCGTAAAATGGTGTATGTTTATTGAATCGGAACAGCTCAGACTATGCTTCGCTTGAGTAGCAGATGTAGTGTACGTTCAGTTGTTGATCAATCCTGGGAAGTATCGGCACGTTGTGTCAGTGCGCATGCGCATTCGCCGGTTTTGCCGTCAGTGGGTCAGCTGTCGCTCTATGACTGGAGAATCTCACTTCACTCAAATACGACTCCTGTCCAGACAACAACACATCACATTTACAGTCAACTGTTCATGTATACATACAGATATTTTCTGTAATTTAAAAAAATATTAATTGCATATAAAAGATCACATATAAAATCCCTCTCATATTTCCAATTCTGCACATAACACAACTTTCATGCCATAAAAGCTTGATAACATTTTAGAAAGAACAATACTGTGGGGTATAAAAAAAGAAATGTAGTCAGATTTGTCCAAACTGTTCCTAAGCCATTGCACGTTTGAGGTTTGAAGTGATGATGAATGCATGACAAATCTAGACACTCCTTCAGTTTAGTTAAAAAGAATATGCCTATTATTGTTTATTCTTTTTGTTGGCAATTGTTAAAACAGTTTGATCTTTCTTTAAATCAAGGAAACCGTTATTCTTTCAAACAGCTTGTTGTTTATGGTAGGACTTGTAGCGTGTGATGTGACCATACGGTCTATGGATGTGA